TTCAAAATAAATTGCATGAATAGCCTCAAAAGCACTATTCATCTTCAAATTAAGAAATCTATATGCTTTACTATGCAATGAATAACCAATAAAAATTGATTTTATAGCCTTACTACCAATTTCAGGCCTCTTCATGGTTGAATCCAAAACATATGCAATGCAACCCCAAATTTTAAAATAATCAATATTTGGTTTCCTACCATTTAATAATTCATAAGATGAGTTCTCCATTCAAAAATGCTGTCTTCACATCCATTTGATGTACCTCAAGATTATAAATGGATGCAATGGCAAACATAATGCTAATAAAAGTAAATCTAGTCACTGGAGAAAATATCTCAAAATAATCCAACCCTTCTTTTTGACTAAAACCTTTGGCTACTAATCTTGCTTTATATTTATCAATACTTCCATCTCTTTTTAATTTCTTTCTCAAAACCCACTTGCAGCCAATAGGTTTAGTATTAGGAGGAAGATCAACCAAAATCCATGCATTATTATCATGAATAGACTTTATCTCATCATCCATGGCTTTTTTCCATAAAGAAGCATCTGGTAAGGCCATGGCTTCATTAAAATTTCTTAGGTCCTCTTTCAAAGAGTATGTAAACATACCAGGACCAAGATCCTTGTCAATTCTTTGTCTTTTACTTCTTAATTCCGGTTCCTCCTCCTTTTTATTCTCATATTCTTGGTTGGGGACATGACCCATGTGACTAGAATTGCTTTCACCTTTTTGGTTGGAAGCATTTTCACGCAAGTCATCACCCATGTGACTATTATCAAGCTTTTGACAATTCAAACAATTAGAATAAGACAAAATAGTTGTGCCAACATCTTCCACATGCTTATTGTGTGTGCAAAAGAATTAAATTCCAATTCATTTGATAAATCATTTTCTCATTCTAAACTATCAACATCTTTAATAATTAAATGTTCAAAATAAATTGCATGAATAGCCTCAAAAGCACTATTCATCTTCAAATTAAGAAATCTATATGCTTTACAATGCAATGAATAACCAATAAAAATTGATTTATAGCCTTACTAGCAATTTTAGGCCTCTTCATGGTTGAATCTAAAACATATGCAATGCAACCCCAAATTTTAAAATAATCAATATTTGGTTTCCTACCATTTAATAATTCATATGGTGTCATATCTTTATCTTTATGTAAAATTCTATTAGAAATATAGCATGCAGTAAATAATGCCTCACCCCAAAAACTAAATGGCAAATTAGAGTGAATTAACATGGCACCAACCATCTCCATCAAAGTTCTATTCTTCCTTTCAGCAACTCCATTTTGTGGAGGTGAATTAGGGGCTAAAAATTCTCTAACAAAACCATGTTCTTCACAAAAAGAAATAAATTCATTAGAACTAAATTCACCACCTCTATCTGATCCAATTCTTTTAATCTTTCTATTTGTTTTATTCTCTATTTCTTGCTTAAAAATCTTAAATTTTTCTAAAGCCTCATCCTTAGTTCTAAGCAAATAAACATAAGCATACTTAGAAAAATCATCAATAAATGTTATAAAATAACGTTTACCACCTCTAGTCAATTTATCCTTGTTATCACATAAATCAGTATGAATGAGATCTAACAAAGATGTATTTCTAATAACAGATTTAAAAGATGGTTTAGTAATCTTAGATTGTGCACAACATTCACATGTTTTCATGTTGAGAATAGAGCTAGATTTAAGAATATAATCATGAGAAATCATACGTTTTAATGCATTACTACCTATATGTCCTAATCTAAAATGCCAAAGATGATTAATATCACTAGAATCAACAATATAAGTAGAATTAGATGCATCTTTATTTATACTAATAGCATACATATTGTCTGTGGCATAGCCTTTCCCAACAAAGGATCCTTTCTTGGAAATGATCACTTTTTGGGAATCAAATACAACTTTAAACCCATGATCATCAAGTTTTTTGATAGAAATTAAACTTTTGCTAAGACCTAGAATATGATACACATCTTGCAAAGTGAGAACTTTTCTAGAAGTCAAAGAAAGTTTCACTGTCCCTTTACCAACAACTGCACATGTGGAAGAATTTCCCATGAAGATAAATTTTTCTCCATTCATTTCTTCATATGTCTTGAAAGAACTTTTAAATGGAGTCACATGACATGTTGCTCCTGAGTCAAGCCACCAATCCTCTTCATTGTTTATAACAAGTAATTCAGTGTGCATAGCCACCATATCATCCTCTGTGATGATATTTGTTTCACAAATTTTCTTACCTTTATGATGGTAGCATTGCATAGCAACATGCCCCAATTTTCCACATACAAAGCATGGTCCTTTCTTCTTGTTGAAAGTTGCCAAGTTCTTGCCATTTTTGCCTTTCATTGAAGAAGACCTTTTTTGTCCTTTCTTGAACTTGTGATTGGGTTTCTTGGAAAAAGATGCTGGCCCCTCCAAAGCATTCACATTATCACTCTTTTCTTGACCATCCCTTTTCTGAGCCTCATATTCAATTTGGATGTGCTTCATCAATTCATCCCCTTTCAAAGACCTTTTATTGTGTTTAAGGAATTTTTTATAATCCTTCCACGAAGGTGGTAATTTACCAATTATGGTTGACACTTGAAAGGTCTCAAAAATTGGTTCATCGGCATCAGCACATTCCGTTGCAATATCATTTAATTCATTGACTTGATCAATGATAAGCTTGGAATCACTCATCTTAAAATCAATATATTTGTTGACAAGGAAAGATTTGTTGCCTGCATCCTCTTTCACATACCTTTGTTCTACTGCATGCCATAACTCAAGAGCAGTGGAGTGTTTGTGAAAAGCATTAAAGAGAGAATTTGTCATGGCCTGCAAAATGGTTAGATGGCAAACATAATCATCTTCAAGCCATTTGTGTTGCTGCTCGGTCGATTCTCCATTTACAATGCCGGTGCAGTCTTGTGGATATGGATTATGCAAGACATATGCCACTTTCAAAACAATGATTTGATAATAAATCTCCATGCTCCACCACTTGTAATTCAGCCCATTAAAGCGTTCCAGTTTTTCAACATCGATGTGCGGTTTGACAATTCCAGACTCCATTTGGAAAGACTATTATCTTTAAATTGTTGTATGCAGAGAGTTGTAGATGTAATTGTTGTGAGCAAGGCAGTTCCAGGAACCTTTCTTATGGATAATAGTTTCCACCTCTCTGTAGGAAACGTTATCCCCAAGATACAATGCCCACTAAAATAAACTTTAATCACCCAACTAGTATACTGAAACTTGAAAAGCAAAGTGCAGAAATTCAAGGAAGAAGATGAAGAAAAATCAAAGTATTTCTTCAAGATTGTCTATTTTTCTTGGGACTGTATTATTTATTTACAATTCCCAACCAATGTTTTTACATCGATGTAAAACAGATGCAAGAAGCATAATTCTTTGGTATCTGATATTTATATTAGATAATATTTCAATCTGCCCATTGGAGACGGTTTTATCCAACTCAATTTCAACTTTCAATTTTGCAAATAAAGTAGTTACCAAACTGGTTTTAACTACTCCTTATCTTTATCCT